TCTACATACTTAAGTATATTGCGTGAGTGTGCTACTAGTAGTTCACTTTTTTTATGATCCCGCATCTTCTAGCAATCTATTCGAGAATTACAACCAATAGGAATAACACTGCAATTCTTTGATAATTGTTATTTGTTTTGTTTATTTGAACTACTTGCTTTTTGTTTTGTAACAAATGCTGCTGGACGATGGAGACTTGAACATGTTAAAGGCATATTGCTGATTGTCTTCCTGCCGAGTGTCAGTGTCCCAAAATATTAATAAAATATAAATATTCCGACAGAATGACTCAATGGCAAACAGATGAATTGTTGGTTAAAAAAATATATGCGTGTGTCTGTACGATTTATAGCGCCATTGAAACAATTTCAGGATGATTTATTTCTTACTTCAACATTTTTATAGACAGTTGGACACGGTTGATTGCTCTTGATTGTGTATACATGCCACTCCTGTATATTTCCAGGAATTATTAATCAGATAAGTTTTAAAATAAATGAGGCTTTAAGGGGTACGATATGCATTTGATACGATTTTTTCGGCTCTGGAAATAAAAAGGAAGGTTCATTGATAGGAATAACCAATGATAACTCTTATAACGTTACGTCACTTGGTTCAAACGCAGAATGAAGGTTCATTGGTTATCGTTTTTAAGGAATGAAATAAAATTTATCTTTTTAAATGTTGATACATTATTTTATCCATACGCAGTTAATGATTTCAAGCCTTATATAAAACGACTGGTAACATTTTCAAGCAAAACATAACAAAGGCAGTTTGCGTACAATATTTAATACACTAAAATGACTATATAGATTCTGAGCAATATACATGATATAACTACAGTTTTTTTGTGTATATATTCTTAACTAAGTTTATGTAAGCATTGTAACCTGAAAAAATCTTGATGGTATTTGTTATCGCATCAATTTTGTATCGTATAGATATATGTATATATGAAATTAATTTTATTTTCCGGTGAATATTTATTGTTGATACCAATGCAAATTTTCCAATTTGATCATTTGAAGAGACGTTTAAAGGCCCATATACCTTCGAAATGCTATTATTTTTATTTCTGAAAAAAAAAACTATTTATTTTAGGATATTTGTTTTACATTTTCAAAATAGTTACTAAATGGGTATATAGAAGAACAATCTTTTGATTCCATTGCTCATTGGCAATGTGTACAATTAAAGTGAATATTTGATTTTTTTTATGGAAGTCAAAATACTACTTTGTTCACATTTTACTATATTTCCGGAATATTTCTGTCCGTTTAGCACCGACATTAAAAGGCTTTTGGGAAATAAAAATAAAATCATTTCTAAGGCATTCTGGGCCTTTAAACGTACAATTTCCTCATACAAAGGAAGAAACAACAGTAAAAGCGTTTTATCCAAAAACATCAAAATATGATTTGACACTGAATAAAATATTAATAATATCTTGACAATACCTTAAACGTATATAGATTAAGATGCTGATAATAACAAATCACTGCATGTATATTAAAAATAAGCAATATAATAAATTATGTTCCTAAAAATCTGCATTTTGTATTGTAAATGTTTGTGTACTACGCATAATCCTTTTCACATTTCGAGAAAGTTTCCAAATTATCTGATATTTTCCTCTATTAAGCTCTTTCTTTGTCAGCTATCGAATTCTCCTCATTGAAAAATAAACAACATTGATACTGTGATGACAAAATTTTCCATAATTAGTTTAACAATATTAATAAAATAACAAAAAGTAATAAAATAACAAATGATTGAATTTTTACAACATCAGTCACACAGTTATTGGAAAAACACCACAAAAACTACCATCCCTCCTCTCTGACAAATAATTCATATACAACAACAGATACAACACTAATAAGAAAATGTAAGACAATGATTTGATACAATTGCACCTTCTCGGCTATTTCAAACTTCGGATAATAACCTCTAAAAGAATAGTAAGAATACACAGCACTGTCACAATAAAAAACATTGATACTATGATGACAACAATATACATTATAAGGTTAATAATATTAATAAAATAACAAATATTAATAAAATAACAAATATTAATAAAAAAACAAATATTAATAAAATAACAAATGATTAAATTTTTAAAACACCTATCACTTAGTTATTGGAAACACTGATTTAAAATTGACAACGTCATCGACAAAATAAAAACATTAAATGAATATATTGTTTTAACAGCGGTAACGTATCCCGTGTTCAACAATATTGATTCTAATACTTAATATCCGCAATTTGTATTGTAAAATTTTGTGTACCACACGTTACCTTTTTTACATTTCGAAATTTGTTTACGAAGAAAGTTTCCAAAGTATCGGATATTTTCCTCTAAAGAACTCTTTCTTTGTCAGCTATCGAATTCTCCTCTTTGAACTTTCCAAATATTCTGTACTGGTTTCACAAGGGGTACATAGATATCAAACGAGTAGGACTCGAACCAATATTGCCAGTATTTTAATCTTTACAACAATAACTACCACCCCTCCTCTCTGACAAATAATGCATATACAACAACAGATACAACACTAATAAGAAAATGTAAAACAATGATTTGATACAATTGCACCTTCTCGGCTATTTCAAACCGGATAATAACCTCTAAAAGAATAATAAGAATACACAATACTATCACAATAAACAACATTGATACTATGATGACAACATTTAACATAATAAGGTTAATAATATTAATAAAATAACAAATATTAATAAAAAAAACAAATCATTGTATTTTTTCAACATCAATTACAAAATTATGGGAAAACATAGATTATAAATTGACAACGTCATCGACAAAATAAAAACATTAAATGAACATATTTTTAACAGCGGTAACGTATCCCATGGTTAAAATTGATTCTTATACGATTTTATGAATATTGAATAAGTAAAATTACCATTAAAATTGACAAAAAAGCAACCACAACAGCCTAACAAACGTATTTAATTCAAAAACATGAAAACAACAATGATTTGACACAATCGCATCTTCTCTACCCTTTCCGTCAAACTTCGGATAAGAACACGATCGAACACAATAGTAAGAATACACAGAACGGATAAGGTTTGTTGGTCTAACCTACGCTAAGTAAGTAAGAATTAGGAATTATTTGTTGACTTATTTTCCCCAAAATAAATCGAGTAAAAATCCACATAATTTAAGTAAATTCATAGACATAAAAGTAAGCAGTACATTTTTCATATACTTATTATGATGGTTGTAGAAACCTGTTGACATAAATTTGGGTTTGATTTTCAGTTGGCATTTTTTAATTGATAATAATTGATAGACATATTTTAAATCATTATTTCACCTAAATATTCTTCTTATATTCCTTTGGATGTTAAGGCCCTGTCACACTAGACTGCGTTGTCACTGCGTTTGCACGGCGTTGTTAAATTTTTCAAAGCGCCGCAAGATCGCAAGAAAAATCTGATATTATTGATGACACGGATACTTCACGGCGTATTCATGGCGTCCTTACGGCAATCATGGCGTTGCTACGGAGCTTCCACGGCGTTGCAATGCGTTCTTACGGCGTTTTCATTGGCGATTGTCTGCGTTTGGACTGCGCTTCTACTGCGTTCTTTGCGCTTCCTCTGCGCTTTCACTGCGCTCACACGGCGCTATTGCGGCGCTCACACTGAGCTGAAATCGTGCTTCACATACAAGTTCTGAAAAGTCGTGTACCTGCAAGCAAGCAGAATTCTAGCTTGCTGCTGTTCATCATACATGGTTAAAAGGATATTCACGTTCTATATATACAGTGAAAACCCTCAATTAAGACCACAAAAGGGACTGCAGTAAAGTGGTCTTGATTGCGAATGGTCTTAATTGTGGATATAAATAATCATCAAGGCATATCTATTTCATTACCACTCTATTTGTTTTTATTATGTATAAACGTGTTGAAACAATTATATTATAACCTTCAAGTATTACTACAAACTGATGTTATAATATTTATTAATACTAATAAGAACATTAATCTGCATGACGATATTTAATGTATAAATTATATTTTTATAGGTCTTGTTTCATGTACATAATTCCTATTAATTAAAAAATTTAATCGTCACAAAAATGAGCAGAAAGTAGCATTAAACCAATCTGAAATTTATTGTCTTACCTTTATACAATATTCTAATCATAACAGTTTTAACACAATGTTTCGAGTGTCATGCTTTAGAGAATTCAAGCAGATGAATAACAAAAAACTTGTTATCTGAATAGGTATTTACTGGAATATCAGTAGTCTCAACAGTGGGGTTAGATAAATAAAACAATGAATTGGGACTAAAGCTGGTGGTCTTAAATGTGGATAAGTGGGGTAGTCTTAATTGTGGATCATGTAACCCTTAACATTACGAACTTAAATTCCGTTTTTTTAAAAAATGGGTCTAATTAGAGGGTTGGTCTTAATTCTGGTGTGGCCTTAAGTAGGGATTCTACTGTACCGTATTCCGCAATTTCAGATGAACGCAGTAGAATCGTCTTGAGTGCGCAATGGTCGCCGTGACAGTGTCGTAGAGTCGCAGTAAGAGCGTTTTAGAAAAAAGTAAGCTCCGTAAAAGCGCCGTACACACGCAGTACAAACGCGATAGAGACGCCGTACAATCTCCGTACAAGCGCCAAGGAAAATTACGGCGTTTATTCGGCGATCCTTCTGCGCTTTCACGGCGCTCCTGTTGCGTTGTAGGAGATATTACTGAGTTGCTAAGGCGTCATTACTGCGATCCCACAGCGCTCTTTTCAGAAAGCCGAGTGACGGCGTTTGTTTTAAGCATGCTCAAAATGCGCGCCGTCGGTGGGCGTTCTATGTGATGTCAATGTGATGCTATGGCGATGCTGCGATGTTTGCGATCCTACTGCGCTCACCTCGGCGTTCTGAATTTTCTTTGGACGCCGTGAGAACGCCGCCCTAGTGTGATAGGGGTTTAAGATACAAAAGTTTGTCACATTTAGATTGCGCGCTCTGTCTGTATTACATCTTAAACCACGTTGAAGAACTACATTTGTGTAATTTCAATCCGTATTAAGTCCGAGCTTATTTTAGATAAAGGCCGAGTTGTTCCGATTTTAATCTGACACAGTATGATATGACATAATGACGGAACAATGAACGTGTATGTACAAAGATATCTAAAACAAAAACAGTACGTCACTTGAAATTAAAAATATCTATACACAGAAATAAAAAGTCAAGTAATTTCGATTTCCTATTCACGTCATCCAGTACGAATGAAATGTCTCTACTGTCGACAGTGTAGAAGCAGTATGGTGCTCCAACACTTATTTTTGTCTCACTCATATATATAACTGAGTACATATGCTTCGTAACAGAGACAACTTCCTTCCATTGAATACCAGTCTTTACTTTAAACCCTTTTCACATTTTAAGATAAGCTTTCGCAGAATGCTACCAAATTGGCGAATATTTTCCTGTAGAGCTCTTTCATCAGCAGCTAACAACGCTTTGGCATCGATTACAACAATTGGTTTGTTAACCTATTGACAAAATGTAAAATTGTAACTAATTAAGGCTGATGAAGCTGTGCATTAAAGTAAAAAATGTTAAAAGAAAATGGGAGGAAATCCAGATATATACCGCCAATGGCACTATTATTTCTCTTCATTATAAGCATATTTGCGGAATAATTAATACGCTTCTACAAAAACATATATGAACAGCTTCATAAAAACATTGAGGGTTTTTGCGTAAAGGATTGAAAATATCATAATTTTGACGTATAAAAGATAAACTCCAATCATTAATAGCTTTTCTTTTTTAATTGCTGAACATTTTAACAATTTGACTTTACACCAAGCAAGAACCATTTCAACAATTCATGTGGACATGTAGGGACTAAATGTTTTGCCATAATAAAGTCTATTAAGCACGCAATTATCAATGACAATGATTAAACAACTGAGTTTTATTGTATACAATTAGAAAAGCTAATGAGTGTTCTAGACAATATTAATGGTTTCACCGGGGTTGTGCGATTGGATTACTTTTTTTCAATCAAACGGTACTAAATATTTATTCACAAATAACTTAAAACTAAAATTCTGGTATAATTATATTATACATTCTATTATATAGCTATAGACAAAGAAGTAAAAAACCGGTGTTTAACCTCAATAAACACTGGTTATGGACTACTTGTATATGCGGCTGTTATGTTTTCATCCTCGATTATATAGTTTGCAAAGCCTTTTAAATCAACAATAAAAAGTATTTTTATTAATATTTTCAGTTTTTATAATGTTTTCGTTTCATACAATACCGAAATAATATCTCACATACACTTACGCCTAACGCCACATATTTTATTCATATCAGTTAATAAATATTTTAACAAAACGGCGCTAATCCGTAAGCAACGTAATAAAGTCATTCCAAGTAAACAAGTCATTCATAAACAAGCTGACGTTATTTCATACAAACAAGAATGATAAATGGGGCACTGATGTAAACACAATACGACGTAAGTTTTTATTGTTGAAAACTTAATAAAATAACGTTTTTTCTTATTAGTTCCTTTCTTTAATAATTTCTATATCTTCGCAACAGTAGGGTGCGAAAATCGAACAGCGTTATACAAAAATCGGCACCGGAAGTAATTACCGCTTAAAAAATAACATAAGTGATCTTCCTTATTTATCTTGTAGAATCAAAATAACATCGACCTGAGAGGTGTATATCGGCAATTTAACACCGGTTTTGTCGTTTTGGTGGTCAATTCCTACACATCCAAACTCAAAACCGGTTTTAAATAGCCGATATACACCTCTCAGGCCGATGTTATTTCTTAAATATATCACCTTACAAAACATTAATCTATATTCTTGTCCTCTATGTTTAATTATCATTATTAGTGTTTATTTTTAGTCAATACCTAATCACAGAAACCTATTTCTTTTATATGTTTGGATATTTGATTGCTCATGTTTTTGTTAATCATAAAATGTGTGCTATTGTAAAAAAAAAACTAGAACTATCACTAAATGTGATTAATACCCCCACAAGTCTGCTCCGGAAATGAGGATGTTACTAGTAACAGAATACCTTGTAAAAGAATTGAAACATAGAGTTATGGTTGTGGGCAATTAAAGATAATTGTGGTTCATGTATGTTGCATTTCCTTTCAATGTGGTTGGCCATTGATGAAGTTTAATTGAATTCCTCTGTAATAAGTCCAGAAAGACAAATAAAAAGAACAAAGGGCAAACACTCTATAAATACTGAAGATAGAGTTATAGTTCTTGTGCACTGCACTTCCTCTTATTGTGCTTGACCATTGTATGAAGTTGTTTTGAATTCCAACCAGTACGTTTTAAGTTATGCTCCGGACAAGGAAAAGTATCAAAGGGCAGTAACTCTGTATTTTGTCAAAATGGAGTTATGGCTCTTGAGCACTGCACTTCCTTTGAATGTCCTTGACAACTGTATGAAGTTGTACTGAATTCCAAACAGTAGTTTTCAAGTTATGCTCTGGACAAGGAAAAGTAACAAAGGGCAATAACTCTGTAATTAGTCAAGATGGAGTTATGGTTCTTGTGCACTGCACTTCCCCTTATTGTGCTTGACCATTGTATGAAGTTGTTTTGAATTCTAACCAGTAGTTTTCAAGTCATGCTCTGGACAAGAAAAAGTAACAAAGGGCAGTAACTCTGTAATTAGTCAAGATGGAGTTATGGTTCTTATGCACTGCACTTCCTCTCAATGTGCATGACCATTGTATGAAGTTATAATGAATTCCAACAATAAGTCTTCAAGTTATGGTCCGGACAAAAGAAAGCAATGGAAAGTAACAAAGGGCAATAACTCTGTAATTAGTCAAGATGGAGTTATGGTTTCTTGTGCACTGCACTTCCCCTTATTGTGCTTGACCATTGTATGAAGTTGTTTTGAATTCCAACCAGTAGTTTTAAAGTCATGCTCTGGACAAGGAAAAGAAACAAAAAAGGGCAGTAACTCTGTAATAAGTCAAAATGGAGTTATGGTTCTTGTGCACTGCACTTCCTCTCAATGTGCTTGACCATTGTATGAAGTTATAATGAATTCCAACAATTAGTCTTCAAGTTATGGTCCGGACAAAAGAAAGCAATGGAAAAGTAATAAAGGGCAATAACTCTGTAATTACTTTAGATAGAGTTATGGTTCTTATGCACTGCACTTCCTCTCAATGTGCTTGACCATTGTATGTAGTTATATTGAATTCCAACCATTAGTCTTCAAGTTATGCTCCGGACAAAAAAAGAAGGCAATTGAAAAAGCAACAAAGGGCAATAACTCTGTAATTACTTTAGATAGAGTTATGTTCTTGTGCACTGCATTTCCCCTTATTGTGTTTGACCATTGTATGAAGTTGTTTTGAATTCCAACCAGTAGTTTTCAAGTTATGCCCCGGACAAGGAAAAGTAACAAAGGGCAATAACTCTGTAATTAGTCAAGATAGAGTTATGGTTTCTTGTGCACTGCACTTCCTCTCAATGTGCTTGACCATTGTATGTAGTTATATTGAATTCCAACCATTAGTTTTCAAGTTATGCTCCGGACAAGGAAAATGCAACGGACGTCTGGACCGACCGACCGACCGCCCGACCGACCAACCGACCGACCGACCGACCGACCGACCACCGGGGTGACTCCTATATACCCCCCCAAACTTCGTTTTTGGGGGTATAATGAATTTGAAATGTTGTTTATAAAATTGTGTGAGTACCTTTGTTTTACACACTGTAATGTAAATGTTTTCCTCACATATTTGATCTATAGCAATAAAGCCCACATGCAATAGACGTAGATAATCGGCAAGTTGTTTGCACAGAGCCGCAACAACATTGACTGACAAGCAACTGTCGTCATCAAGAAATTCTCGAATACTACGTTTCGTACCAACTGGTACAAGTTCACTTGTCATCCGCACAGATCTGCTAAATTGCTGGTATTCCAAAATGGCGGTACCAATTTCTAAAAAAAAGTAAATGTTCAATTGAACTATACATTATTGTAATTTGTTTATCCCGGACACTGCTGTAATTATATTATGTTTACAATCATTATATTTTAACAGGCTATCTGCATTTGAAACAATTCGAACAAAAGTCTATGTGGTGCTTCGTATATCAGATTTGCATCGCTAACTTGAAATATACTATTTAAGATACTCTTCTAAGGTTGTTTGACATTACGGGATTAGAAATAGCTGTTCGAAATTTATGGTCCATTTGATGCAGGTCGAGAACATTATCTTGTGCACAGAAGTTTAGATCGTTCACATACTCCATTGTTTTAGAATATTTTATTTGTGCACAAACAAATCAACATTTTGGAAAGCGATGCAACGAATTTCGCTCAAATCGGTTTAAAATAGCACACAAACTGATTTTCAAATTTATCTGAGAATAGTTCTCAATTATCTTTTGTGCATTTTTCTGTTTAAAGTACCCCTGCTGAATTTTGTAGGACATTGAACTTTTATGTTTTAGGCTTTACAAACTCAGAGGAGTTGCTTTAAACGTCGTCTTTATAAATATCTGGATAAGCATTGCCCGTGCTGACGAAAAGTCAACGACTTATTAAGTTGGACGCTTATAAAAAAATATGTAACGTCTCAATCAGTTAGAATTCTTCATCTTTCGTTTCTCATTTTCATCTGTCGAGACGTTTTATTTTTTCTTATTGTCTTGATATTACATTGCATGTTTATAACTTTTAAAATGTTCTTCCCCCCAAAAAGCAAATAAAGAATTATAGAACTGAATCTGATTACAGCTAAGTATTTACCTTTCTGGACCGCTGTTCGACTCTGCTCATCAAGGCTTGGATTAAAACTCTAAAATACAAAGTAAAACACTGATTTCAAATAAAACGATTGCTCAACTGCAAAAATATAACATCTGAATTGTCCGTATTAAAGGCACTACTATCACTTATTTAATATTTAAAACTTGAAGACTGGTATAATGAATTCGTTAATCATTAAATTATAGTAAATAACAGGTATAATTAGTTACAAATTTAACAAATTCATTCGACAAAGGTATTATAGCACTACATGTATTTACTTTCGACATTTTAATTTCATGTGTTGGAGCAACACACTAAATACCGTATTCCGGTATATACCGTATAACACGCTTTGAAGATAAAATCTCGCCTTTTCGCCCACCAAAGTGCAGTATAAGATGTTTTAAATTCATCTTTTGACATCGATTAATATACGAACATGAATGAAAAATGTAAAAATAGTCGAAAAAACGATATTTTTTCTTCTTTCTGATCATGATTTCTGCAGGCGTCTAGAGGTTTTGCTCAACACTGTAGTGAGTTAAATGTTGTTGTTTTTTGTAATAACCACTTTTGATATATTGTATGATCACTGTTGATAACTGTAAGATTTCCTGTCTACAATTATGCAATCCTCTAACCTAATTAAACATACAACTATTTGGATTCATTTGGCACTTTTGCGTTGAGCTAGTTATCTCACTTATCTTTTTTTTTGCTATAAACACATACCCGTGCCGTTTTTGCGACCCCGCAAAGACAGTATTGCACGGACGTGTACATATTTTGACGTGACATCATTTGCATTACATAAACATAGCTTGAAACGCGCAAAATGTTAGGGTTACACTATAGGCGCGTCAATGAAAAGTTAACCGTTTTCACTTTTAACAGTCTTTAATGTTGGTACTTGATAGATTGAATATATCATTCGTGCACGTTCATTACTGAAATTATTGACTCGTATATTAAAACAATATTATGCTTGCCAGATACTCTTCTATTTATAATATGAGGCGCGCGGGATACGCCATTTAAAACACGCGACGTGTCTTACACGGGTGGAGGAGGGTGAAAGACTTTTTTCTAGCACATATGTAAGCAATTGATATTCCTTTCTGATATTCCAAAAAATAATTAAGTGACATTTGTATCATTTATCTTCAGGGACGCGAACCAATGATTTACCTTCTTCCCGATTATTGCTGTCACTGTATACAAAAACGGGTTAAGAGCAGAGTTTATTGGTAAAATGAAAACAGCTGACCATGCATAAACATCACTAGGAATCGGAAATCCGTTCAAGGCCAAAATACCTGAAAAAGGAATAGCTGTACTTTTGACATTGTTGTAATAGATTAAATAGCGCACAAATACACGTTAGATCTTTTCATAGAATATGAATACCAAATCATATACAATGTACATGTAAAAAATTTTAAACAAAAAAGAATCGTTGGGGATAGACGTGCGTTATTCAGTTTAATTGTTAAATCGTGATGCAGACAATACAAACACATATATCATATGTGTATGAGATCTTACCCATTACACCTATCGGAAACCAACACAGGAAATCAGTTGTTGCAACGAGTATAAGATTTCTTGCAACTTTCAAGTCACGTCTTCTTGAAAGTTGTGTCTTCTTCATAGCTGATGTTGATCGTCGAAGTTCTGTGAATATTGAGATTTGTCCTACAGCAACAAGAATGAATGTACAAAAATTCAGGCCGACAAAGATTGACACAGAATAAATCCACCCTGGGGGTTTATCTCGTGTTAAAGGCAATGCAATACAAACTCCTGTTCTAGAGTAAAATTTGTTTTGGAAGTGACTTGTGTAAAGAATTGGAATGACCGATAGGATGATGGAAATGAACCAGCACAATGCACAAGAGACATAGGCCTTCATAGGTGTAAACCTCACTGTGCCAAACGGAAACTTGATCACTAAAAGTCTATCTAATGTTATCAAGCAAAGAAAGAGGACACTGGCTTCAGATGAAATTGTAGACAAAACTCCGGCAGTAATACACCAATTACTGTTTCTCCATTGATCGTCCACAAAGATATATCTGCAAATAAAATTAAAAAAGGAAATCTGTTTAATGCAACATGGCACGGTAGTTTTGTTATATTAACATCAATTAGGACTAAACATATGTTGTTTATAAGAGAAAATTAATTTGATTTTGATTTTAAATATAATCAGTTAAAATGTTCTTTCTGTTTCTGAACAGTAAACAGTCAGTTAGTCAAGGACCTTTTACCGGCTGTCGGTACAAACCAGAATATTAGGTCGAGGAAACTGTTTACGGCGAAAAATAGGCTCTGTCGAGTATCCGACAAACAGTTACCAGAGGGCTAAATATTCCAGTTTACAATGACAGACAGTGTTTGATTCTTTTTTCTTGCATATTACAAATTTATGATATTTCGAAAAGAGATTACGAAAACTGATATTTTCATTTAGCACATTTTTCCTGAAGTAGCGTATGAATTTACAATTTCATTCATAACGGCACAAGTACATCATGCTAAGAAAGCAAATCATTCATAAAAGGTGTGTAGGAATAACGTAATTTAAAGTATAACATGGGGTGTAAGACAGTTGTTTCCAGCACAAGTGTTAACACTTGATAATCATGTCTTATATGCAAGAATAATAAATCAGGACTTGTTAAATAAAAAGTAAAACAGTTATTAATCTGTACCTGTTTTTGTATAGTAAATCAGTCATTTATCAATACCTGTTTCTATAAAGTGAATCAGCCACTGCTATTATGATAAGGTAAACACCCATTAGAAAATCTGCAACTGCAAGGTTAGTTACAAATATGCCATAACCTATTTTTAGCCTTTCACGATCGAACACGAGCCGGTAGATAATTGACGATAGGTTTCCGAACAATGAAGCGAACCCAACTATCCAAAGGACTGCTTGAAGTACAGAGTTTCTCATCAGGTCTTCACATGAAGAAAACTCATTCTTCAATGGTTTGCAGTATTCTTCAGGAAGATAACAAGGTCGGATACAGCAGAATTTAAATGCAGGTGTATGAAGCTCACGAAGTGATGTGACGCCGTTAAATATAAATTCTCCGAATGTTATCACTTTATTGCCTTCAAAGTTAATCTTATGAACAAGCGAGTTGTTGAAGGCAAAATCTTCAATTTCCTCAATTCTGTTGTAAGAAATGTCGATACTGTCCAACTCCAAGCCCGAGAATGTAAGTGAACTTATCTTTTTCAGGTTTGTGCCGGAAATTTTTAAGCTTCTTACAGATTTCAAACCTTTAAAAGCAGTCGATGAAATCTTTGTTAATTCTATATTTCTATCCAGATTTAAATAGGTTAGATCGCGAAGCTTGCTAAATACCCGATCAGGTAATCGCTGTATTCTATTGTTGCTAAGGTCTAATGATAACAAGTTTCTCAAGTCAAAGAATGTAAGTGAACTTATCTTTTTCAGGTTTGTGCCGGAAATTTTTAAGCTTCTTACAGATTTCAAACCTTTAAAAGCAGTCGATGAAATCACTGTTAATTTTATATTTCTATCCAGATTCAAATAGGTTAGATCGCGAAGCTTGCTAAATACCCGATCAGGTAATCGCTGTATTCTATTGTTGCTAAGGTCTAATGATAACAAGTTTTTCAAGTCAAAGAAAGCCCTTTTATGAATATAATGAATGTCACATGTTGAAAAATTAAGTCGTTGCATGTAAGGAAAACTTAATTTTTCTTTAGGTATTTCTTCAATTTTTGGATTTTTACTCAGATCAAGACTTATAGCATTTACAGTAAATGACGAAAAATCAGACATTGATATGTTGGCTGCATTACAATTGATTACCTTACCAATACAATTACATTTCAATGGACATTCAGATTCACAAAGTCGTTCATCATCACCATTTTTGCAATGAATGACATCATCACATACTTGTTCAAATGGTATACATTGCTTACTAGACGAACATCTGTACTTTCCAACACATGGTACGATTGTAGCCTCTGAAACGGAAATATCAAGAAAATATACCCTAACAAATGATTTTTTTTTAAAACAAATGGTCACCTTTACATGGTTATACTCTAGTTTTCTTGGTTTTCCTTAGTTGTTAAATTTATGGAACTCTTTTCAACATCAAACATGCAAGTATAAAGAAAATTACTTATGCAGTTGTATAGTAGCTTTACAAGTTTATTCGGGTAAAATGTCTTTTGCTGAAGTATAAAAACACATTCAAACAGGGGGAAAACAAAATAAATTTGAACAATAAAAATGATTAAAAAATCGATGTTATTGTGTTAACGAACATAAGACAACAGAACGTCTCGAAAAAATATAATATGACATAGAAGAAGATAAATTGTTGTCCAAGTCATGAATGTACATTTGGTATTATATTCAAAATCAACGATAGAGAAAAAAAACTAAAAACGGTTTCATATATTTACGAGTCAAGCTGGCAAAGCTGTTACCTGTACATATTTCTGGAAATCGTCTAAAACCAATCGAAAATAGAGAACTCCATTTACTTATATGTATATCCTTTACAAATCTGTATCTGTTATCTTTATAGAGTGAAGAACTAAAATCTTTTATCACCCGGTATATTGAAAACGATGGCTCTGAAATATTGGACAATACTAAGCTAGCGACAACTGATGATTCAATACTGTTTTCTAGTACAATAAGCGCTCTTTTTTCTAGCTCGGAAAACTTCAGTTGTTTAAGAAAGTCTCTTGCCATTGTTTTAAACTTGCATCCAGTTTCCTCTATTCCCTGTTCTCTGGTAACGCGTTCTACCTTTATTTCCAATAACCTGTACTCAATGTCAAACTTCATTTTTCTATGAAGAATATTGAAATTAAACAATTTAACGATGTTATTCTCACTGTTTGTAAAGAATTGTTTAGCTAAATGCATTGCTGCGTCCCTGCTCTCAGAGTCTTCATCTTCCACGAATAAGATTACTTCTCTATCCGAGTCTCCACAAGCTGAAATAAGAAATCAAAACAAAACACTAAATGCCAATAATTTGTTTGAGTCATAAAAAGGCATTTTTTTTGTAATCTTGACTAAACAGTTATTTTCCCTCAGCTATTAACCCTGTAAATGTATTATCAATAATGTTTTTATTTGACGACAACATCATAACGAAAACCTTAAGTAAGTAAATATAAACCTGAATTAAATAATTTGCTGAATTTGTTTGATACTGTGTACGACCATATTGAGTTAAGACGAATCAGATTTATTGTTTGTACAATTAGTATTAATATCTAAGCCACAACTTGTCGATTGATGCACAATATTTAAATATATTTTAGTATAATATCACAGGCCTTCAATATCTAATTTAATTCCAACATCAACTCGTAGTCAGCTTGTTTTCGTAGGAAATTCGTGTCAACATATGATTTCATGTAACAGAAATAAAAGAAAAAAAGAAAACCTTAAGAATGTCACATTTGATATGAATATAGCGTCACATTGGCGGAAAAAGTACTGTAACTGACATTTGTTAAATAATACAGGAGACACAAAAAACTGATTTGTTCCTTTTGAGTAAACCATTTAATTCGAGGCAATAATGTCAAAACATCATTAATAATATTATTAAATAGGTTTTAAACATTACAATTATTCATTTATGTATGAAAAATAATTAAATATGCTTGTTCTTTTACATGACTTTTTGCACTTACCATAGTTTTTGCACTAACTTTAATTTTTAGTATCGAGGTTACTGCATGGCATAGACATTTAAAGATGAATATTACAAACAAATTAATTGCAAGATTTCCATGATAACCGCCGTATGAACACATCTGCGGATGTTTCTAAATTCAAAATTTCACCATTGTCGTGTTAAATGTTGAATTCTGCTTCAGCCGGTGCTAGGGGGCGTGTACGGTAACTTGCACTTTCCAGTACCGTCTATGAACAGGCTCAATCAAACCGAGCCTGCAACATTTTCAATTTTGTTGTGTTGGACTTTCTTGAGGGATTTTGTTTTTCTCCATTTTATTGTCACATCCGTGTTATTTGTGCCGTGTGGCGGCTGTAAAAAGTCTCCCCGTACATTCAATCAATGATGTTATATTTTCGATCCTTGAAGATCGTTCAGCACGCCATTGTTGTTGTGTATACATGTTATTTGGTACTTTTAGTTTCTTCTATTTGGCTTTTTTCAACTTTAGTGGTTTAAATATTCCTACTTAAATACTGTATAATCACCCTTTTATTTAGTTCCGCCCATTGCTTTCTCGTTTAGGGCAAAAGCATTCTTTTACTTCGGGACCATACGCCGCTTGTCATTGAATTTATTACTGTGTCACATTGAAGGTTCCATGATAACCGCCGTATGAACACATCTGCGGATGTTTCTAAATTCAAAATTTCACCATTTTCGTGTTAAATGTTGAATTCTGCTTGAGCCGGTGCTAGGGGGAGTGGACGGTAACTTGCACTTTCCAGTACCGTCCATGAACAGGCTCAATCAAACCGAGCCTGCAACATTTTCAATTTTGTTGTGTTGGACTTTCTTTAGGGATTCTGTTTTTCTCCATTTTGTTCAAAATGTATCATTATGAATTATGAACCACATATATAACACAAAACATATGAATGGAAGTTTAAAAATTGAATATTTTAAAATTAATTCTAAACAGTAACAGTTAGTCCAAAGCAGTATATATTTTTACTTTCAAAGTAATTGTAATCACAACAAAATCACATGAAAACTGCAGACATGACTTAATTTTGTCTGTACGCGAGAAATTAGCAATAGTGCAACAGCCCTGACGGCCCCTAGCACCGAATTATGTTGTACTCAATTTTTAATCTTAAAAGTTCTGGAATCAATGATTACAGAGGACCAATAAAAAATCACAACAAAATTAGATGAGTTTGCGGACATGACATAATTAGTCTGTATATGAGCAATAATAAAAACTGCAACAGCCCTGACGCCCTGTAGCACCGACTTGAGCTGTACTCAATTTTCAAACTTAAAAGTGCTGGAATCAATGATTACAGAGGACCAATAAAAATATAACAACACTGAAGTGAAGAATGTGAAAACTTATTAACCATGTTTTTACTGTTGTCATTTTCTAATGGTACAGTTTATTTATGTATTTGTTATAAAAAGGGGTATTTGGGGATCTATATATCATTATAAATATATGTCTCAATAATATCCAACCATCACAGGGACATAGACTTTGAGATTTTGGATAAAACCACTAGGACTCCTGAACTTTTCTAAACATTTTGGTTGTGTGAAGTTAAGATTTTGGATGAACCTGCTAAGAATCCTAAACTTTTCTTGCCCAACATATCCTAGTGAGATCCTTCTCTATTATCTCTCATGAACAAACTTCAATTTTAATATATAATTTTGTTTTCATTGCTTCTTCTTTTCAAAGTTTTGATATATTGAATTTAAATTGTCTTATTTCCTGACTTGAAAAACTTTAAGCCTTATACACCATATCATTATCATGGATTAATAGATTTGATTATATTTAAAAATTCAGATTTATTTCTGTGACGTAATTTGGTTTAGGTCTATGTGCAATTTCTACAATTGTTGAAAATTGAGATTTTCTGTTAATTAAGTGTAGGGAATAGACTGAGTCATTCTTATTTTTTGATATGACCCCATTCTATATGTAAGAATTTATTCGAGTTGTACATGCACCACATTAGACGTAACAAATACTAGCAATGATGGTTTTGACCAATATAACATTGAAACAGATTACATGCCTTTGTCTGCCATGTTTTTATAGAAATTTAAATAGAAAAGATAAACCAATGTTAGAAATTCAAGGCTATCAACAGTGAAATTGCATAATAAATAATTGAGTAAACAATTGAAAAAAAAACAACATTAATTAGAGCTGTCATCGATAGAAATGTTATTGATGCAATGTTGATATTTTCTGTTGATCAGTACACATTAAAAAAATGAAGAATTTTATTTAATAATTGAATGTCTAGAAATTATGAAAATTCAATAAAAACATATGCATAAGCATATTTCATAGCAATGATAACAAAACAATTGTTAGCAAAAATCATGAAATGGGCATTTGTTTGAAACAGGACACATTTATGATAAGACTATGTTTTTACTGAAAGCATTTCAACAATTATGAAAAAGAATTAGATACAAGTAGATAAAACTTAAAGTATGTAATTTTCAATATATATGTGTATCATCAATATTTTCATTCCAACAAAACAATGACAGTTCTAATATTACTTGAATCTTTTTAAAAAAATCAAAATTTGAATACTGAAAAATCCCTAGTTATTAGCTCACCTGAGCACAAAGTGCTCATGGGTGAGCTTTTGTCATCACTCTGCGTCCGTCGTGCGTCCTTCAAAAAATGGCATCAAACTTTTCAAACAACATCTCCTCCTAAACCATATGGCCAATTGCAACCGAATTTTACAGAAATGACCCTTAGGTGGACCCCATTCAAAGTTGTTCAAAAATTTAAATTCCATTAAAAACTCTGGTTGCCATGGCGACCAATAGGAAAAATTTCAAAAATCTTCTCTTAAAAAATCCTAAGAGCTAGAGCTTAGTTATTTGGCATAAAACATCTTCTAATCAGTGTCTACCAAATTTGTTCAAATCAAAGCCCTGGGGTCAAAATTGGCCCCGCCCCAGGGGGTCATTGATTTTCCCTATGTGCTTATAGTAAAAATTTAAAAAATCTTCTTTTAAAGAACCCAAAGAGCTAGAGCTAAGATATTTAGCATGAAACATGTTCTAATGGGTGTCTACCAAGTTTGTTCAAATAAAAGCCATTGGGTCAAAAATTGGCCCCGCCCCGGGAATCATTGATTTTCCTTATATGTGTATAGCAAAAACTTAAAAAATCTTCTTTGAAAAAAACCCAAATAGCTGGAGTTTAGATATTAAGCATGAAACATTTTCTAGTGAGTGTCTACAAAGTTTGTTCAATTAACAGCACTGGGGTCAATATTGGCCCCGCCCCGGGGGTCATTGATTTTCCTTATATGTGTATAGCAAAAACTTAAAAATCTTTTTTGAAAAAACCCAAATAGCTAGAGTTTAGATATTCAGCATGAAACATCTTCTAGTGAGTGTCTACCAAGTTTGTTCAAATGAAAACCCTGGGGTCAAAATTGGCCCCGCCCCAGGGGGTCTTTGATTTTCCCTATATGCATATAGTAAAAACTTAAAAAATCTTCTTTTAAAGAACCAAAAGAGCTAGAGCCAAGATATTTAGCAAGAAACACCCTCTAATGAGTGTCTACAAAGTTTGTTCAAATGAAAACCCTGGGGTCAAAATTGGCCCCGCCCCAGGGGGTCTTTGATTTTCCCTATATGCATATAGTAAAAACTTAAAAAATCTTCTTTTAAAGAACCAAAAGAGCTAGAGCCAAGATATTTAGCAAGAAACATCCTCTAATGAGTGTCTACAAAGTTTGTTCAAATAAAAGCCCTAGGGTCAAAATTGGCCCCGCCCCAGGGGGTCATTGATTTTCCCTATATGTATTTAGTTAAAATTTAAAAATCTTCTTTTAAAGAACTCAAAGAGCTAGAGCTAAGATATTTAGCATGAAAGATGTTCTAATGGGTGTCTACCAAGTTTGTTCAAATAAAAGCCCTTTGGTCAAAATTGGCCCCGCCCCAGGGGGTCATTGATTTTCCTTATATGTTTATAGCAAAAACTTATAAAATATTCTTTGAAAAAAAAAACAAATAGCAGGAGTTTAGATATTAAGCATGAAAAAGCTTCTAGTGAGTGTCTACAAAGTTTGTTCAAATCAAAAACCCTGGGGTCAAATTTCGCTCCGCCCCGGGGGTCATTGATTTTCCTTATATGTGTATAGCAAAACTTAAAAATCTTCTTTGAAAAAAACCCATATAGCTAGAGTTTAGATATTAAGCATGAAACATCTTCTAGTAAGTTTCTACAAAGTTTGTTCAAATAAAAGCCCTGGGGTCAAAACTGGCCCCGCCCAAGGGGGTCATTGATTTTCCCAATATGCATATCGTACAAACTTAAAAAATATTCTTTTAAAGAACTCAAAGAGCTAGAGCTAAGATATTTAGCATGAAACATGTTCTAATGGGTGTCTACCAAGTTTGTTCAAAAAAAGCCCTGGGGTAAAATTGGCCCCGCCCCGGGGGTCATTGATTTTCCTTAAATGTGTAGAGCAAAAACGTAAAAAAACTTTAAAACATTAAAACATGAAACATGTTCTAATGGGTGTCTACCAAGTTTGTTCAAATAAAAGCCCTGGGGTCAAAACTGGCCCCGCCCCGGGGGTCATTGATTTTCCTTATATGTGTATAGCAAAAACTTAAAAGACTTCTTTGAAAAAATCCCAAATAGCTGGATTTAAGATATGAAGCATGAAACATCTTCTAGTAACTGTCTACAAAGTTTGTTCAAATAAAAGCCCTGTGGTCAAAATTGGCCCCGCCCCAGGGGTGTCATTGTTTTTAACTATATGTGTATAGTAAAAACTTAAAAAATCTTCTTTTAAAAAACCAAATGAGCTGGAGCTTAGATGTTTAGCAAAAAGCCCCTGGATTAAAATTGGCCCTGACGGGGGGGGGGGTAGATCATTGTTTTTCATTATATGTGTGTAGTAAAAACTTAACATAATGATTGTGAAACATCTTCTAATGGGTGTCTTCCAAGTTTGTTCAAATAAAAGCCCTGGGGTTAAAACTGGCCCCGCTCCGGGTGCCTTTATATAGGTGAGCGACCTCAGGGCCATCATGGGCCTCTTGTATTGTTTGTTGTCAAATAAAAATAAAACATTTTCTTTAAATGTTAGTTTCCTATAGTAGATTTAGATATAAAATTGTATTTTAGAAATAATTTTGCTATTTAATAAGGAAATAGTGAAATAATTTTAAAACATTGGCGCAAAAACTCAATCACACATGTTAGTGTACTTACTGTAGTTTTTGCACCAACAAATTCTGAAGCTGCACTTACGTTTATTTTTATTTCTATTTCAAAAAAGTCATTTTGTATTAATATATAGTTTCTAAACTTCTAAGACTGGTGAAACTTTGTATTTCTAACCAAATAAAGACAAAAAGTGATTTTTTTCAAAATATGACAATTACATGACTTTTTGCTCCAATGTGACGATTATAAGGTTACAATAAAACCAATTTAATTTAAGATCACATACTCTATTTACTTTCAGAAGGAATTTGAAAAATGACATTAATTCAAGAAAACTTATTTGTGCTGCCCAATACGACCCTTACTACAAGCTTTGGATTTTTCTTGTTGCAACAGACCCCGGTGTTTTAATGCGTAGTTATTCCATACACTCTGTCAACAATGAATAAGATACATGCACATGATGTGTGTAGTTGTGTGTAGCTATCTGTCTTGACTAATTTATCTAATTAGTGGTGGCCTAGTGGTGGCCTTCTGCATATAATATTCTTTACACGTAAATATAATTGAAACAAGAAAATCAATTGTTTGAATCATTTCATATTGTAGACTGAAAGTTTACGGTTTTTTATTCTTTTTTCTGCATAATATAATAAATCCTTTATCAATAAGAGCTATATATTATCTGAAAAACGTCAGCAAAATATTTGCCAGCTAATTCATGCAGAAAGACTATGAAGGATTTGAAGTAAGAGAAGATAATATTTTAGTATAATGTAACCATGATAGAAGTATTTGCTTGGGTTGTCGAGTTATTGGTTGGAAACGTTTTGAAATAAAGTGAATTTGACCTTGACTTTTGACACCTTGACACTTAAATTAATATGGTTGATAAACTGCTAAAGACAAATACACCTGTCAAATTTTAAGGTGAAAGGCTCACAGGTTGTTGAATTATAGATCGGAAACTGTTATTTATAGACAGTAAATGTGACATAAGCCTTTTATCCCTTGAATCAAAAATAATAAAGTTCGTCTGACTGTCAAGACCAATGCACCTTAGATGTTTTCGGGAAAATGTCCATTGTTTGTTGAGTTATTGTTCGGAAACTGTTTTGTCGAAAGCGGTTCATGCGATCTTGACTTTTAACCAAGTGACCCCAAAATAAATTGGGATCATCTGCATGCCAGTACCGTACTATTTCTTAAACTTCCTAAGGACATCTATTTATAACAATACCATTAACATGACCATATCAAAAAAAATATAAATTATGTAAATTAATAATTATGATTATTCTTCAAAAAATATTTCAAAATTTATATTTCTGTACCTACACAAAGAAATCGTCCTACCTCACCATAAATAGTCGGATCTACAGTTTGTTGTTTGACTTATAACATTTGCTGTTACATGTATACGCTCAAAATCCGGAGCTTTTTGGAGGCATCAAATGTCAGAGTCATAATTTAACATTGGTAATACCATAGCATCAAACAATTTGATCCTATCAGAGATATCCATTGGTACTTTATAAAACAGGGCATTTGATAAATATAGCGCTATGTCTGACTGCTTTGATTAGGCTTTCTGTATTTCTCTAGGCTAAAGGAACTGACGGAGAAGTACCAGTTAAATTTGGATTATTTCCCTTATTATTCACAGTAAAATGTAGTGTTATAAAGTACTTGTATAGAATTATGAAATATCAGAAATTGTGTTTTGAATATACTGGTGTTATTAAAGGATTTCAATAATATCGTTTTAAACCAGGTATGCAATTTTTAGGATTTTTGTATTCATTGATAAAAGGCCCATAATGCCCCAAACATGCTTTTATTTTACAAGGGTTTCTAATTTGTGGTGTTCGGTTATATTTTCGAAAAGGTTCTGATTTGCCGATGACGTGATCCATCCTTGTCTTCTGATGCAAAAGGTACATAGACTTATGGTGATTTAGTATTTTGTATGGAAGTCATTATATTACTTTGTTTACATTTTGATTCTTTAAATGGATTCCACTGAGGTTTAATAGCCTAAAACGTTACATTTGAATTTCTTACATAAATGAACTGGGACACTTAAAAAAGAAATATATGCATAATTATTTAAAACATGTACTTTGAAATAAATTGAAAATCGTATTTTTATGCTTTTCTAAGCCCGATTTGAGTGATTCATTTTGGGTCATGTTTTTACAATTTGAATAATTATTCTGGCAAAACGAAGTGCCCGAATAATCTGACATTTTGCACAAAGGTTAGAGGCATAAACTGTCATGAAATGGTACATTTATCTAGAAAAAAATATTTTCAGTCCCGTCATGTCAAAAAACCTCAGTGGAGTCCCTTTAACGAATTCATATTTGCCCTTCCATATAGGGAAATATTTATTAGTTGCTGAGGCATAATGCACCTTTAATGTTGATAATATCAATGTTCATGTCAATCCTTACAAACAACAACTACTTTGTTCTGAATATTTTCTGAATAAGAAATAAACTTATTAAAAGTAAATAAATTATCTTTTTAGTTTTACAAATACAAAGTACTTATGTTGAATATTAAAGGAATCAAAAGCTGAATATTGAAATAAATTATGAAAGAAAATAATGTTAGTTGCGTTCATAAGGTCACGTACAAGGTTTTGATACTGTTTGAATGAATGACCTATTAAACAGCGAAGATTTAGGAATATCGAATGAAACAAACGATGATGTACCACATGCAATATTAGACAAGTTATTATTGCGTGTCCTCATACATATATATTTATAATAATCACATAAGGAAAATATGCTTAAATATATATTAAGATATATGCATATACATTCAATTGTTCCAACATAATTTCCATAGTTTATCTGGCAAAATTTGTATTGTCAACAATGCAATAAAAATTGAATGTAATATTTAGATTTTAGCACACTCTCTGCAACGTATACTGTACCATAATATAACTTTGCGATTAAAATATATGTATATATGTGACAATAAATTGTTTAACTTGATTTAGTTTTATATCCATATGTGTTGAATGAAACATTTCTGAGACGTAAAAAATATATTTTGCTAGTTTAACTGAAATCCCTTTTAAATCATTGTTTTTATTTTCAAAATACAAAGCCTATATGGTGCAGGAGAATAAAAAATGCCATGTACTGAAAACGATATTACACTAACGAAGTAACAATTTTATATCATGTCATTTGCGCTGTATATAAAATATAGCGTAAGTAAGCGTAACATTATAGGTGCAACAGTGTAACTGTAAACCATTCTAACTTTGGCTACGTGATAAATACAATATCAAATTTAATATCATGTATGCATTCATTTATAATATCAAATACTTTGTTTAAAAAATGTGCTTCCTTTCTAAACTATCACTTATTCAAAATCCTCTATTTAAAGATACAAACTAAAACGAAAAGAAATCTTAACGAAATTATTCATATCATTGCCCAACATTAGATCAATGTTTAGTTTGTAGTTATGTCAAAGACCTGTAATTTGTAGGTATGAAAATTGGCTAAACTGTAGGTACACAGTGGGCTAATATGTAGGTGTGACAATGGATTAATAAGGTATATCATTTGGTTATCTGTATATCTAACAATGGGATAATTTGTAAATATGCCAATGGGCTAATCTGAAGTTTTGTCAATGAGATTGTATATATAAATGACAATGGGTTAATATGAAGGTTTATTATGCATGTATGACAATAGTATAAGCTAATCTGCATGTATGACAATGGGCTAATCTGCATGTAAAACAATGGGCTGATCTCTAGATGTTTTTGTAATATTCAACAAAATAACCTTTTAGGGTGAGTCCGGAGTCATAATAATTGCCCGTTAATTAACAAAATGTAATTACTACTGGAATACCGGTAAATAACATAACTTAAACAAACCAAAAGCAAAACAAAAGAATGAGCTTTACAAATTATATATTTTATAACTTACTACAGTCTTGTTCATCTTCTCCTCCAGGGCATTCATTATGGCCGTCACAAAGAAATCGTTGTTCAATACAATAACTTCCAGGACATTTGACAGTATTTGCTGGACAAGTGAAATTCTCTGAAAATCAAATTGTTTTCAATGACTCGGGCAATATTGAGCAATTCTTTGTGAATTTATGTCATTTATGATGACATTCTGTTTTTCTTTGTTCAACTTGAATATTTAAAACAACAAAGAATTTGAGAAAGACATGTTATATGTTTGTTTATTGTTCAGTAGCGCCTTATGTTTTACATTATTACTTTACATTATTATTCAGGTTATTTTAAATGATTGATTCATTAATAAAGTTGTTTTGAATCAAAACAGAATCGTTGTTCAATTTTCTGTATTAGATTGCGGAAATATATATCTTAACTTAATGAATAATATCCGTTTAAACGTGATGTTTTTTTTACTTAAAAGCAAACAGACATGTTCAAGTAAAAGCTGGATTTATTGAAACATATGTTTTCTATTATGAACATCAACTTTTCAGCTCTATACATGTTTCATCAGGAATCTTAAGAATATATCAAATTCAAAAAGCAAAATATGTAAACAGCAAGAACAAATCGTCTTTAACAAATGAAAAAACATAGGTTTATTTCTAGTAAGCATTGACATCTATAACGTTGAACTCATCAATATGTGTTTTTACAATAGAGATTATTCAACTAGTTGAAATGAGTGTGATTTACCTATACACTAACTGTTTAATTTGTTTCATGTCCTTTTTCAGTCATTATATTAAAAACAACTTTTACATGCAACACTCTTTCACATGGTATAATGTAAAGATTTTTTACACTATATTTTGATTAAACCCTGGATACGGTAATGTTCAGTAAAAAGTGTATCACTACTGCGTTACTGACATAGTTGACGATATGATTCATGGAGCTGACTGCAAAAAAATATAAATTTGCATAGACCTCTCAGGTAAAAACATAAGGGAAATTACTGTAATATCGTAGGAGTTAACAGTTATTTTCATTACCTGATGTCAAAATATATGCTATTGTGCAGGACAAAGACATTGTCTAGCAGACAGATTATTGCAAACAAAAGAATGCCCGTTAACATGCAAGATTTTTCACAGTTTGCGTCATAAACGTATAAACAGGCAATACAAACAACACAAAAATAAACGGTTTTAACGGAATCAAATCTTGAAAACAAAACACAACTACTCAGTAAACATTTTACAAAAATCGTATTAATTGAAATCATATAACACATTAGTAAACAATGTTCTATAGAATTGCGAAAATATGACTATTTAGATATTATTTTTGGATAATTCATTGCGCTAAACATGAATTCTCAAATCCAATATCACCGCGAAGATCGCGAAAGATTTAAGCCCGCGAATATTTCTTCACATATCATATCGTATTGTAATTGCATCTATTGAAATTGTTAAAAAAATATTTTCCCCTGTTTTTAATAGATAATTAAAATGATGTACACTGCTAAGAACCTTTTGATATTTTATAGAACTTTTATCTTGAAAATGAGGTTTAAAGATTTGACGTATCAAGAAACTCCCTTATCATTTTGAGAGTTTTAAGTGTTTCTGTATCTTCCAGCTGTATTTCAGTTTTAATTCTGTTTAATTTAAATTGTCACACAATGCATATATACTATGCTGATTTTCTTTAGAGTTTTTAGATGTTATAATGATATAATAGATTCCTACAGTTCAAGTTAAGGAATTGCTTTTTTAAGGTAAAATATTTATGTTCATAAATGATAATGTAAACAGATCTAAGACTTTTCTAAAATAACAAAAAGTGGGTAAAGTATATTGAAGATAATTCATTGGCACATAAATGACGAAAACAAGGGATTCTGGAACGCATGGAATCCGAGGTAGTTTATGTGAAGGCTGCTAAAGCTCTGATCCTTTTTCAACCTAATTTTAAATTGATATAAAATATACTTATATGATGTAAAAAATCATTTATGCTACATTTTATAAAATGTAAATAATCTTCAACGTTTGCATCACTTTATGTTCTTATATAAATAATTATTAGATCTATATAATTTTATCAAAACGGATCTTGTTTTCAATTCAAGTGTCCAAAAATAACGTATGAAATTAACATCATATATACCCCATATATCATCGTTTTCACTTTCATAGTTCAAAAAATCTTCTTCTTTATAAAATGCAAATCATACTCTTTATCTAGCTTCGTTTTCATTTTAAGAGTAAAAATCCTATTTGTAGTTTGAGAACCAAAATTTTCAAGAATGATGGCATTCACAAGACATTTCATTATATATTTTTGAGATTAATACTGGTACTATTTGTCTTGTACTGCAAAGCCTTTTTCAGGCTCGGCTAGTGGTCATCCAGTATAATTTTAACAGCTGTTTACTTGTCCAAATAGAACTTAACAATGTATAACAACCTCATATTATATATCATTATTGCCGCAAAAAACGACATAAGCTTAAATAAAAGCAGTTTTTTTTGTCTTGTTTCCGAATATGTTTAATACGATCCTTAGATACCTTTGTCCTACTGTTAAGTAGTACTATGAAAACCGGATAAAAGATTCCATTTCATTCTTTTTTTTCAAATAATATTTTAAAGCAAAATATCAAAATATGCATGCTTTTTCCTTCAACTCTCCTTTTTATTTGAGCAACGATTTCTTAATAGAAGTAGACTTAAATAAGTTTTGGTGGCTTGTTGCTTTTAACATTTTTTTCTAATAAAACAATATCCATACTGACTGACTGTAAATCACATATGAAAATGTACTGGCTGTCAAACTATTCATTCGCCAACTAATCTCACTACTCTTTCTTTTTGTGCAACTTTCATCTATTCCATTAAATCAATATTCACAGGTGAGGTAAATAGCCACAGAAGAATGGCGTGCTTCAAAGCTCTGCTCTATTAGCCTTGAGAGTACCTAAATGACAAAAACCTTTTCCAATCAGCGCATTTGGAAAATTTGCAATAATATTATAACACTCTTTTTTTCTATTTTCAAGTTAAAAAAGAAGCACGATTATAGAACCACAAAGTTTTTATGTTGAAACTTCGAAGCGGTTCGTGAGGTCTCGCTTTGTGGAAAGTTGTTTTAAATATTACAACGGTACATAATAATAAAAGAAGTCTTTCTTAATCCATTTATACACACAGATTATTTTAATGAGGTACAGCGAAATTACAAGCGTCATTTTTAATTTCGTTTCGTCAAGACAGAACTACGTCCGCACAGAACTATCAAAACCATCTCAAAAGAAAAATTAAGAACTTTATAAAATAATTCTTCGAAACTTACTTGAATATCATTACTGTTTTGTGTACATGTTTTGTGTTTTTTTTTCAGTGTTTGCTATTTTGCACTTGGGTGGTTCCAGTATTCCTACTTGAATGCTGTATAATCACCCTTAGGATATGTTGCCTGCTTTTTAAACTTGTCTTTTGACGTCTTAACTGTGAAATGCGGGCTTCATAAAGTTCCATTTGATTTAGTTCCGCCCATTGTTTTCTCGTTTAGGGAACACGCATGTTTTACTTGGTGACCATACGCCGCTTTTCATGGAATGGTACTACTGTGTCACATTGATGCCGCATAATAACATCTGCGGATGTTTTTAATTTCAAAATCCCACCGTTTTGTTTTTAAATGTTGAATTCTGGTTAAGCCGGTGCTAGGAGGCGTGTAAGATAAATTGCACTTATCAGTACTGTCTATGAACAGTCCTAATCAAACCGAACCTTCAACATGTTCAATTGTGCCGTGTTGGGTTTTCTTTCGGGATTCTGTTTTTCTCTATTTTTTTGTTTCAAAATTATTTAGAATACACGGGAAAACAAGGATGCTTTATTACAATGCATTGCAATAGATGTTACATTGATGCATTTTGTCAATGCAAAAGGTGCCCCTTCAAATGGAGGCAATGATTGTGTTTTACGAAGATTTTAACTTAAGCTTGGTTTGTGGTAAACTACCCTCATTTCATGAAATCATACAGTTGTACAGTCCATTTTTTTACATATCGATATAACAAAACATTGTCTTTTCATATCATTTATTGAATTTAAAAATGTTGGATAAAAGAGGAAGATTTTGAATATAGAAGAATTAAGATGATGTATGCCCTTTAGTTGAGAAAAATATCCCGCATGAAAGGAATGTTATCAAATTGATTATATTACTTATCAACTTTGTTTGTTTGTTTCATATTTCGCCTTTTCCCAACAGTATTTCAGTCATATAGACGGGTAGTTTCCTAACCATCGTTCCTGGAGAGTTACACCAGTACTAGACTACCTACATCCGCGCTAAACCACCCAAGCATCTCCCGGGGATCGAACTTATCAAGTAGTAAAAGGTAATTGATAAAGCTTTTGAAAACCATTGATAATTTACATGTCAAGTCACACAAAATAAGTTGCTGTAAACATAGATACTTAACATGTCAAGTCACACAAAATAAGGTTATAATTTAGATAATTATATTAGTTACCACAATGTTGTAAATGATCTCCAGATCTGCATCCAGTCATGTAACCGCTGGCATCTACGGCATATATACACATCATCGACTTTGGTATGGCTTTGTCGTCTCTTTTACAATAAAAGAACTCACCAAATTCGGTCGCACTGTACTCTTAAAAAATAAAATACCAGACTTTTCTCAACAATTAATAAACGTATTTACCAACTTAATTTAAAGATATTTTATCTGGAAACAATTGTGACAGTGATTGTTTAAAAAACTGTTTACACATATTATGGAAAACTTCAAAAGTTTGTATGTAAATTAACACTGAATGAAAAGTGATATGATCTTATTTTATCGGTAATTTTTTAAACATCTGATTTTGAAGGTTTGTAAAATTTTATATTTTAATTTTATACGGAATCGAAGTAAATTAAAGTGTCATATGTCTTTAAACGACACATGACTATAAGTTTGTAAATCACGCTGCTATTTTGAGGTTCCATACCATACACACAAATAGGTGGATATCTATTCAAATTCAAGTGCCCCCCTTCATTGACCAATCTCCTGTCTCTGATCTCACTTCCATTGCAATGTTTTCTCTTTAAACTGCTTTTATATCTGTAACTTTAGAATGCATTCAATGTATCAGTGTTGAAGAAAAGATATTTTATTCATTCAATATTTATTGCACGGTATATTAATAATCTTGTTTATTCACTTAACGATACTTTGCTTATTTACTCTATCATCGTTTTGTTGCGCATTTTGCGGTCACAGAATATTATATGTTGATAAAAAGCAAAATTCATTTCAGTACAGTAATTTATTATAATAAGAACTTAAAATGAATCATCAAACTCAATGTTAGTTCAAAAATAGCAGAATTTATATTGTACTTATAAATATGATAGATAAAGATAGATTATGATCACTTTGGTATTATGAAAATAATACGAACTCTTTAAATTAACGTCTTTTGAAAACAAAAAGAGAAGTCACTATAGGTTATTATGCAATGCATACAGGCTTTTTTGTTGTTGTTTTTAATGGGGTGCGTTTCATAAAGAATCGTAAGTCTAAAACATAAGACTAAAGTTGTGTTTCAAGAAACTCTCCTAACTTTTGTATTAGGATTAGTCCTAACGTTTTACCTAACATGTTTATTTTCAAAAAAGTTTGAGTCATCTTAAAACTATTTATGGTTGTTGTTGCATGTCAAAATCAATATAATAATGTACTGTATACTTGCTGGTATTTATATTAGCTTTATCTTCACTTATTCCCACCACTATTTACGTATATATCTATATCAGGCACTATATCAATATTTGTTTATTTGTATTTATAACTTAAGACAAAGATAGGAGTGCCCTAAGGCACCTAGAGGAGTAGTCCTAAGTTTAGTCTTAAAATTGTACTTGGGACTTGTCTTGAAACACAGTTTTATCACAGTTTTGCACGTACGACTAAAATCGGTCATAAGATTCTTTATGAAAACACCCCAGATCAACTTAAAGAGTAATAGGGAATGCTGAGCTCAAAATGTAGTGTATGCAATTGCTAATGTACTTAATCAAATAAGACTTTCTAACCATGAAGTTTCTAGATTTCAATAATTATAAACATTAATCAGTTAAAATATGAGCTTTGTATATCTGTAACATTATAAACATAATATTTTCAATATCAAAGAGGTACATTTGTCAAACTTAGAAAATAAAAAAGTAATATTTTTTTATTAGAAATGTAAATTATATCAACTAAAGAAATGATCTAATATTGATATAACAAATTTTTTTGGAAAATTATTTGAACACATACGTGTGTGTTTGTACTTTTTCTATGCAGTCACAAAACGGATACCCAAATATATTATTTAAATTGTCAACATCAGCCGCCTCTCGGAATCTTAGTTCACAATCAAATTTTGTCTGAAACAATGCGAAAACCTTGTAATTTTATTTAATTCATATGTTTATTATTTTATTAGTTTCTATTCACCAATTCAGATGTGACAGGAATAATATTGCATTACAATGAGTACGCATTGCATAAACCTACTTTTTATCACATTTTAGAAAAATTTGTCTGAGAAAAATATAAACAATCAAATATGCATCTTATGAATATATCAACGATTGCCTATATGTTATTTTACAACACATTGTACTGCCATTCTTATTTTTGTATTATTGCTTTTTAAGATACCCCACACAACAAATAATTCACTGCTGATACAACTTAATTATTGATACATAGCCCATTAAGAGTTTACAAGAAAAAGATCTTCTTTTGCTTTAAGAAGGGATTCAAAATTGAATGGTGATTTTAATTATATATTATTTTGGCGTATTGTCTTATTTTATTTTTCTATATACTTGGCATTTAATTAAAGTGAAAGCAAAAAAACTGTACAAGTTTGCACAGTTTCAAGTACAAAGAAGAGGGTCAGATCTGTACAATAATCAAATAACAAATGTTTTCAGGCATACATTGGACTGATTTGTTCTATAAATACAGATTTTATCTGATACTTAAATTAACAAACACAATTTATTTATAGATTAACATATAATTATGTATTATATAACTGGTATGCCATTATAGAAATGAGTTCGCTTACAAACCCTATAACAAGTTGAGAAACTGATAGCAAACAGCATGGATCCTGATCAGACTGCGCGGACGTGCAGGCTGGTCTGGATCCATGCTGGTCGCAAACCCACTATGTTAGTTTTGTCGTGACGCGGCTCAAATTATATATAAATTATCCAAACATCTCATTTTAAAACAATCGTTTTGAAAACCACTTTATTTGGATGATACGATTATTTATAGTTCATGCCAACCTTAACTTACTTTAAACAAATTCTTGTTTTTTAAATGAAATTAAAATCTGTCTAAAGTTTACCAAAATAGTATTATTATTTACATGATTTCATAAAGAGCTTATTAAAAATGGATTTAAACATATTAATAAGAAGCATCCAAAACACTTCTTTGATATTCGTAAAGAAATAATTTGGGGTAATGAACACATTTTATGGAATATAAAATCTTTATATTTTCATAATTGGATAAACTCTGACATAATTTTTGTAAATGATATTATTGATGCCAATGCACATCTTTTTTTTCAAAAACTTAGAAATAAATCAAATTGGCTTTTCGACATTTATACGCTACGAAAACATATACCGCAACTCTGGAAATTCATTTTAAAATCTGACGAATCAATCACTAGGGTTACAACTGAATTATCATTATTACTCATTAAAAAATCGAATGAAGAAATGTATAATAACATACTAAGAAACAACAAAGCAGAAAAAAACATACATTCATTGCATATGGGAACTTTAATTTGAACATGACATTCCGTGGAATAAAATATACCTGAATATAAAATCAAGCATTGACAAAAGATATAAACAGTTTCATTATAAACTCATTCATAATGTAATACCGACAGGGGATAACTTATCCAAATGAAAGAGGAAAATAATCTGAAATGCGTTTTATGCAATTGTACTGATAGCACAGAACATTTCTTTATTCATTGGCAATCACTAAATGCTTTCCGGAAAACAATAATTGAAACTTTTAAGTCGCTAGAAATCTATAAACATACTTTGAATCTCAAAAATATTGTTCTTGGTTATAGGTTCGAAAATACGTAGCAATCAAATCTTTGGCAAATTAATTTGATCTTTACAATTACTGGCTTTACAAAGCTTATAATTATGACGAGTAACCAACGTGCCGATACTATAAACACTCATGGAATCTTTCTACACGAACTAAACAATATGAAACTATACCTGGTCCATAAGAAATATAATTGTTATTTTATTAACGCTTTACAACAAACTTTTAATATTTTCTGACATGTTAAAAGATACTTATTGTGAGTAAAATTTGTTATAATAGTTTATTACAGCTATGTATACCTTTTTTGTAAATTGCAATTCTTATATAATAGCATATTGAATATGTTAAAAGTACTAACTGTACAAATATTATATGCAAATGTACTTAAAAATTTAAAAAAAGATGAAAAACTTACTCTTCTTATACATGAATAGCCCTTCCTTAAACTTTCTCTGTAAGTCATATTTCCGTAACCTAAAACAGTTATTCTTCCAAATTCTATTGATTGTAAATCCAAACTGAAATCTGACAGAAAATTTATATCTTGAATATAATTTTCTTCTTGAGTACATTATTCGCCATAGTTAAAATTGGCTGACATATTTAACTAAATTCCTCAACTGTTAACAAATCCATGTGTAGTGTGTTGCTTTCAGCTTTGTAAGCCCACCTTCTATGTATAAAGCATGCTGTGCCTATTTCTATATGAATCATCTTATGAACGTAAAATGTTAAATGCAATCAGTTGTTAAACTTCATTTGGATAAAACATTGCTTACTATAACTCATGATTGTTTTTTAAATTTTTAAATCAACATGATATACTTAGCTTTTCCAGAGGCTAAGAAAAATATCTACCTAACAAAGGGATATAGAAAAAATAAAATAAGACACTACAATTACAGTTGAAAAGGCTGTTGCTCATTATAACGTTTCAAAGAATAATGAATTTTATTAATCAGTTTCCTATATCAAAATTTGACATGGCTGACCATTTGTGATTTTTATGATATTTACATTCTCACCACGTGAGATGGAGTCATATAAAATACCGAGAGCGGCAGTCGGAAATTAAAATTATAACTGGCATGCCAAAAAGTATATTGGGACGAAGTACTAACAAACCCGAAATTTTCAACGTTTCAACAACAGTTTAAATTTTATAATGTTCTCTTACATTTTTCAGGAAAATTAATTTCATAGTGATCAACCAAGTTTATCGCTATTGGCCCACCGTTAGCGGTAGTACATTACGGGGACACCAGTGACAAAAAGGGTTCGGTAGAAACCGTAAGGTTACGATAAAAAACCGTCACTCCACCCTCTTCATCCAACATGGCTACTGTTATAGCAAAAAGCGACGATGAAGCTGAAAAAAGGATTTAATTGAACTTTGAACAGTGTCCGATTTGTGGCAAGGAAAATAGGAAGAAGGGTGTAAGCTGTAAATACTTTTGTTGCTCAGTTTATTTACTGCTTTGTATATATGTTAATTTCGAAACACACGTTCAGCGTCAGACCGCCTCCGTGGTCGAGGGGTTAGAGTCGATGACTTCAAATCCAGTAACCTCTCTGGCATGGGGTCGATCCTCGGGAGATGCTTAAGTAGTTTAGCACGGAGGAAGTAGTCTAGTACTTGTGTAGTTCTCCAGGATCGATGGTTAGGAAACTAACCGTATATATGACTGAAATACTGTTAGGAAAAGGCGTAAAATGAAATAAAATTTTCAATTTTTTAATACCTTCCTACACTGGTGGCCGGCCCACTTTTAAATCCTATTTAGCTTTAGCATATCTCATTACTATAACTTCCTGTCATTGTGGGTCACCATTACATGCTCTCTAGTCAGGAAATATCTTATCATTT